ACCAGACAGTCCTGCTTCTCCCGTTTGAGTCTGTGCCCCTAAAGCCTCTCCCGGATCTGGAGCTCAGAGTCTGCGACTCCCTCCCGATTGAAAACGCCAACCGCGCACTCCGCACCTCAGAATTTGCCTTCAGCACTGCGCCTCCTCTGAGTGTCTGAATGCGTTACTCTTTCCTCCTAGTTGTAGGACTTCCACTCAGCCAGCGTTCCTGTGGTTCTGGATGATGTCCCTTCCGTCTTTTAGTTTCACTTTTGAAATGGTTGTTCGAGGCGGCAAACTCCGGCGTTAACCTATGCTGCCATCTTGGTTCTCTACCGATATACTACAATTTGTTTATCCATGTATTTGCTGATGGACAGACGTTCTAGTTCCTATCATGAATAAAGCAGCTATAAATACATTTTCATTTCTATTGGATAAAGCTCCAGTAGTGAGGTTGCTGAGTCTTATGGGAATTACATGTTTAACTTTGTAAGAAACTGCCAAGCTGTTTTCCAAAGTGGTTTTACCATTTTACATCCCACCAGCAATCTATGAGTTCCAATTGTTCCCTGTCCTCAACAATACTTGGTATTGTCAGTTTATTTTAGTAATTCTTCTTCCTTTTTTTGTTAATCTTCTCCCGAGGATATTTTTAGAGAGAGTGGAAGGGAGGGAGAGAGGGGAGAGAGAGAGAGAAAGAGAGAGAGACATCGACCAGCTGCCTCACCCATCTGGGGCTGGGTATCAAATCTGCAACCCAGTCCAGCCACTATGGTTCAGTGGCTGAGCTTCGACCTATGAACCAGGAAGTCACAGTTCATTCCCAGTCAGAGCACATGCCCAGGTTGCCGGCTTGATCTCCAGTAGAGGGATATACAGGAGGCAGCTAATCAATGCTTCTCTCTCATCATTGTTGTTTCTATCTCTCTCTCCCTCCCTCCCTGAAATCAATAAAAATATATTAAAAATAAAAACAAACCTACATCCTCTCTCTCTCCCATTTTTTTGGGGGGGAGGCAACCTAATTTTTGGTGGCCTTGTTTCGGCAAGGCTTAAAAAACAAAAACACAAACAAACAAACAAACAAAACCCTGCAAACCTGCAACCCAGGTATCTGCCTTTGACCAGAAATCGAGCTCAAGACCCTTCAGTACTCAGGCCAACACTCTATCCACTGGGCCACATCAGTCAGGGCTCTGACTTATTTCACTTAGTATAATACCCTCAAGTCCATCCATGTTGTTGCAAATGGCAAGATTTCTTTCTTTTTCAAGGTTGAGTCATTTTCCATTTTTCATGTCTTTTTTATCTATTCATCTATAGATAGATACTTAGGTTGCTTCTATATCTTGGCTGTTGTAAATAATGCTGCAGTGAGCATAAGGGTGCATATGTCTGTTCGAATTAGTGGTTTAGTTTTCTTTGGATGAACACCCACAAGTGGAATTGCTGGGTCATAAGGTAGTTCTATTTTTAATTTTTAAAAAAATATATATTTTATTGATTTTTTTACAGAGAGTTAGAAACATCGATGAGAGAGAAACATCGATCAGCTGCCTCCTGCACACTCCCCACTGAGGATGTGCCCGCAACCCAGGTACATGCCCCTGACCGGAATCAAACCTGGGACCCTTCAGTCCGCAGGCCGACGCTCTATCCACTGGGCCAAACTGGTCTTGGCCATTTACCCTTTTGTTGTTGTTGTTAATCATCACCCAAGAATATTTCTTCCATTGATTTTTAGAGAGAGTGGAAGGGAGGGAGAGAGACAAAAACATCCATGGGAGAGAGACTGGAATGGAACCCGAGACCCTTCACTGGCCAAAGCTCTAACCACTGAACCAACCGGTTAGGGCTAAACCGTTCACTCTTAAGTGTCCTTGGTTACCCAAGACAGGATTTTGCGATTTACTAGGTTGCTGTAAACTGCTTGGCAGTGTAACTATGTCTCCGTTTCCCGAGCCCACGTGTCCTGGCCAGTCTCAAGAGGCTGAGTACCCTGAGCCCTTTCTGAGTTCTGTGAGGGCCGTATTGGAAGCTTGTGAGTCATTTTCATTCTGGCTCCCTTCCTTTCCAACCTCACCTTTGCTTTTCCTGGCCTCGTGTTCTTACACGTCTCTTTATCTGTTGGTTTTCCTCAGAGCTTTTGCACTTTTACCCACATCTATTTGCAGTTTTAATTCGGAGGACTGTAATTCAAGTGGTAGGCTTTGTTACAGAGTTTTGGTCAAACGATAATAACATTTAGGATTCAGTTGTATTTCAGCTTCAGGCCCAGGAAAGTGAAACCAGAACAAATGATGCCATGGCTGGCATCAGGATCACATGCAATAACCAATAACCCCCCACCCTATTCCCTTTTCCTCTCCTTTGTACCCTGCGACTCGGGGGTAGGTCATTCCCTGTCTTTACCTGAAGCTTTTGCAGAGTCAAAGGCACAGAAAAGAACGTGTTTCACCCCGGTCTGGTGCTAGAAGGAGGCAGCGGTCAAGTGTGTCCCGAAGAAAGCGGTCTTGGGAAACATTCCTAGGAGGAGGGAGAGTGAAGCCAGACAGTCTCCCTCTTTCTAATCGTGTGTCTGGACCTTGATGTTCATTTCCTGGTACTTTGTTTCTAGGCTGTTTTTGCTCTTGCAGAACTCACAGGATCGCAAATAAGTTTGTAGTCAGAACCTTATGCTGCCTTTTTGCTGAGGAGAGAAGCAGGAAGATAAGAGCGTCTCCTAGGAACCCAGCGCGGGAGGAACGTGAGTCGGATTTGTCTTTTGTTGTTGTTCTTATGTGTTTGCCTATCAGTTAAGTAGTCTACTCACAATTTTAAATTTTAAAAATGGCCTGCTGCCACCTCTGTGGTACGCATAAAATCTCAGGTTCCCTCTTTTTTATCCTAAAATGTACTCTAAGTGGGACCCCTAGTCCTAGTTACAGGGAATAATTTTTTAAAAATATATTTTTATTGATCTCAGAGAGGAAGGGAGAGGGAGAGAAACATCAGTGATGAGAGAATCATTGACTGGCTGCTTCCTGGAGGCCCCACACTGCAGATTGAGCCCGCAACCTGGGCAGGTGCCCTGACCGGGAATCGAACCGTGATGTCCTTATTCATAGGTCAACGCTCAACCGCTGAGCCATGCCAGCTACAGGGAATAATTTTGACTCTCCTCTGATCCAGAAGCTTCTCAGACTCCTTTGTTCATTGCCTCAACTGCCTAACGGGCATGAAACAGACTCCCCCCCTCCTGCCATATTGGCTACATTCCAATGACACTTTGTTTATGGATCCTGAATTTTGAATTTCATGTAACTTTTATGTGTCTATAAAAAAGGAATAATCAGAGTCACTTTAAAATGGAGCTGGAGCTGTCCTCTCAGAGGGACTGCCTTGCTCATCTTCTCAAGCCTTTGTAGTGTTAAAACTGGGCGAAATAACCTTTGGACTGGGCCTAAAGCCGCACTGGGCCTCCAGCAACTGTTTGCAGAGATGACAAGAAATCAGATATTGTGACTTCAGGGGCTGACTGGACTGAAAATTAACAACGTTTAGAATTAGCGCCACTATGTTAGCTCATCTGCACCTATAGAAATGCCTTCCTTCTATTGATGTGATTGGTCCCTTTCCTTTCTCAGAAACACTCCTTGACTTCTAATCAGAATACTATTTAGGTTTCTTTTTGAATCAGTGCTTCCCCAATAGCTATTCTTTTGATCTCAAATGCTTGTTGCCTTTCACTCTGGACTTTTATCTTTAGGTGACATGTCACCAAATATTCTTCTTCTGTTGATTTTTTTCAACTATTTTAAATGTAAAAGACTTTTGGCCTGTGTGCCTAAGGGTTGAGGGTTCCATTTCCTGTCCACTGCACACTCCCCACTGGGGATGTGCCTGCAACCCATGTACATGCCCTTGACCGGAATCGAACCTGGGACCCTTCAGTCCGCAAGCCGACGCTCTATCCACTGAGCCAAACCGGTCTCGGCAACAAAAAAATTTAAAAACCACTCTTCATAGGCCATACAAAAACAGGTGGCAGGCTGAATCTGGCCGACTGGCTGTAGTTTGCTGACCCCTGGCTAGAAAGACATTTTTTTTTCCAAGTCAACTTTGAACTGGGTCATTCTGTCAAATGCATCGGTTAGAAATCAGTTAGGAAGTGAGTGGCCATCTCCTGTGAGCCTGTTTCCAGCCGGTGTCTATTCTAAATATAGATTATTCCTATCATTCTAGTGGCCTTGTTCATGAAACATTACTCTCTTTGGGGGCAGACTGGTCCAGGCAACCTCTAAGATCCCCGTTCACGCCCATGATTCTAGTCCCATGATTTTCTTAAAAAGAAAAAAAACCTCAAAATTATTTTTGAAACTGTCCTCCCTAGCTTCTACAATGCTGGGGTCTCCCAGAGTTTCTTCCTGCGACCTCTCCTTTTCCTTTTATTTCCCAGGATCCTGCCTTCAAGGTTCCATTCCCGGGCGGCTCTGTCCTCAGCTCTCTCCTCTCTCTTCTCCGCTCCAGTGACTGTCATCAGGCCATACCTTTAGTTACATCTTGACACCGGTGGCTAACAAGGGCATGTTTAGCTCTGACCTCTCTTCTGAGGTGTACAGCCTTTCAGGGTTTCTCATTACCTAAAAGTTAAAATACAAACTCCTTAGCCTGACCCAAGGCCCCGCTTGGTCTGAATTCCTTGCGCGCTGCCCGGCAGCTTTCAGCGTGTTATCCATTATTCTTCCTCCATGCGTTTGGCCATGCCTTTTCCCCGCCTCCGCCATCACTGCCCTTCCCCTGTCTCCATCTCCCTCCTTCCTACTCCCAGCATACACCAAAGTGATAGAACCCACTCAGAGGGCCACTTGCCCCTCAAGATTCAGCTCACATGCCCGTGCCTCCTGGAAGCCCTGTTTCATAGGTAGGATTCAATGTTTTCTTCGTGTGCCCATAGTATCTTCTGTACATTTCTATTTTAGCACTTGCCTTATTGCTGTTATTAGCATGCTAGAAACAGTTGCATGTTGGTTGAAGATCAAATATTTTTATAAGTTGTCACCTTTACCAGGCTGAGTTGCTGGGAACAGACTTTTGGGTCTGCTCATCTTTGTAGCCTCAGAGCCTGACGTTTAGAAGGTGTTTAGTTTGTGTTAAAAAATGAATGAGTTCATGCCCAGCTGGGTGTAGCTCAGAGGTTGAGCGTCGACCCAGGATCCAAGAGGTCGCTGGTTCGATTCCTGGTCGGGGCATATGCCCAGGTTTCGGGCTTGATCTCCAGTGAGGGGCATGCAGGAGGCAGCCAATCAATGATTCACTCTCATCATTGATGTTTCTATCTCTCTTTTCCTCTCCTTTCCTCTCTGATATTAATAAAAATAAAAATAAAAAAGAGAAAAAAAATGAATGATCCATGCTTTTGTGAGCTGTACTGAGTTTGATACAAATCAAAGTACTTTGGCATCAGTAGGCAAAATTGGGCCACTTTATGCTTATTCTAGAGGCCCAGTGCTCGAAATTCGTGCAAGAGTAGGCCTTCCTTCCCCTGGCTGCCGGCACCGGCTTCCCTCTGGTCCCTGGGACCTGGGCTTCCCTCCAGCCGCCGGCAGGCACGTGGACTGGGGCTTCCCTCGCAGCTCCTGCTTCGCCTGGAAGGATGTCCGGTCTAGTTAGCATATTATGCTTTTTTTAAAAAATATATTTTATTGATTTTTTGCAGAGAGGAAGGGAGAGAGATAGAGAGTCAGAAACATCGATCAGCCGCCTCCTGCACATCCCCCACTGGGGATGTGCCTGCAACCCAGGCACATGCCCCTCACCGGAATCGAACCTGGGACCTTCCAGTCCGCAGGCCGACACTCTATCCACTGAGCCAAACCGGTTTCGGCCATATTATGCTTTTATTATTATAGATTTTATATCCTTAAATATATTTATCTTTTTTTTTTTTTTTTGTCATAGGAGGAAAATTCTTCTAAAGATGGTATCCCACTCAGAGTTGAGGAAGCTGTTCTGCTCGGCCGATGCAGTGTGCTTTGATGTGGACAGCACGGTCATCCAAGAAGAAGGAATTGATGAGCTGGCCAAAATCTGTGGCGTGGCGGATGCTGTGTCAGAAATGTAGGGGCAGTGTTTATTCACTGTGTGAAAGGACAAAGGAGTGCAAAAGAGATGAACTTTTGGGTCACATGCAGGTTCAGAGCCACAATTCCCTGGTTATGAAACACAGGCAGGAGGCTCTTTCTTCCATCACTTACAGCTGAGTTGGGTAGTGTTCATTATCTACTCATCCACTTTTACTATACAGATATTTAGGGCAAAAAAAGTTGCTTCTGACAAACAAATATGGGTAAGACACTCCCTTCCCGTGGTCAGGGGAACAATGACCGTCACTAGCCAAAGAGGACGACCTGGGTGGGTTCTCCAGTGTCCGGTGCTTCATGTCATGGTTGACAGTGTGGCCTTAGTGGTTGGCTGGAAAGCTAGTTTTGGTTCAGAGTCTCTCAGTGGATGCCTGGCGGAGAGCCCCTCTCACCCTCCTGCCCTCCTTAGCGCTATCTGCAGTCGCCGGGTCATGGACCATTTCCTGTTCAGCTGCATTTGGTATAAGACTTGCCCGTAAATATTATGTGATTCTCAAGGAAACCTTCGCAGTTTGTTCTCAGGCCTCACTTTCATAGCATCGTAGTTTGGCTGTTGTGCAGTGGGGCTCTGGACAGCACCTTACTCAGTGCTGTGTGAGTTGGGGGGAGCAGTTAGGCATGTAAACTTGGGGAACAGCTGACTTGGCTGGCCTGACATGGGTCTTCCTCCTAGGACAAAGCGAGCCATGGGCGGGGCAGTGCCTTTCAGGGCTGCCCTCACCGAGCGCTTAGCGCTGATCCAGCCCTCCAGGGAACAGGTGCAGAGGCTCATAGCCGAGCACCCCCCACACCTGACCCCTGGCATAAGGTAAGAGGAACCCTGGTCTGGGTATATTGTCTCTCTATCAGCACCTGCATTTTGGGGTGCATCCTTCTGAGGGCATCTTGCCATTCCTTTATTTATTCTTTTAATGAGGACAATATAAGCTTAATTTAAAAACATTTTTTTTACTGTTGTTGCTATTATAGATGACCCCCCCTTCCCTGCCCCCCTTTGCCCACTTCCAGGTCCCTCCCCCCGTCCTCTGGCCATCACCACATTGTTGTCTGTGTCAATGGGCTGTGCATATATGTTCCTTGGCTAATCTCTTCACCATCTTTCCAGTTCCTCCCTCACCATTACTTTTGAGTTCCTTCTATGTGGTTCTTTTGCCACTTACATGAGTGACCCTGCCCATGTCTGCCTTCCCACTCTCCCTAAGGAGAGATTGAGTCTCCTCTTCATCTTGTGCTTCTAGGTCTAAGAGCAGAATATAGTTGCGGAATGGTTTCCTAAGACAGTCAGGTCCCACCCTTTAATGTATAAGTGCATTTAGAAAAACATATATAAGACATTAATTCACCAGGCAATATACTTTGTCCGATGGTACCTTGGGCAAATTCATTCAGGAGAAAAAATATATGTAGATTTTTAGATTCCTTTTTGTATTTCCTCTTTTATATTATTCAGTGTTTGATATTTTATATTTCTTTTTTGCAGGGAGCTAGTAAGTCGCCTACAAGAGCGAAATGTTCAGGTTTTCCTAATATCTGGTGGCTTTCGGAGCATCGTAGAGCACGTTGCTTCAAAGCTTAATATCCCATCAACCAATGTATTTGCCAATAGGCTGAAATTCTACTTTAATGGTAAGACTTGAATGGTAACATTTTCCCTTTCTCATCTGTTTTAGTTTCAATATTCTAGGTAATGTCTGCTGGAATGCAACCTAAGCGAAGAGGCATCAGGGTTAAATACTGAGATAAAGAATTCTCTTGACTGATATCTTTTGCTCCTTGGAATCCTTTGCTCAGCAAAATACACTTAGGGCATCATCTCTCCTAGCTTTGAGGTTCATATAGTCATCTATCAGGATGCAAATGCCTGCACTTAGTAAACTGTTCATTTCCATGTGAGTCACATGACATTTTGTTATGCATTATATTTCTGTTTTATGAGAGCTCTCGTGTGTTTGAACCAACTTAGACTCAGGAAGGAGAGTTCACTTGTTAGCAAGTCACTGCACTGTAGCTGCCTCTGGAGGTGCCTCTGGCCCCTTTAAGGACCATCATAGAGCCACAGCTGTAGTTTTCTATTATCTTTTTTGTTATTGTTGTTAATCCTCACAACAAGGATATTTTCCGTTGATTTTTAGAGAGAGTGGAAGGGAGAGACAGAGAGAGAGAGAGAGAGAGAAACATCGATGTGAGAGAGACACATCAATTGGTTGCCTCCCACAAGCGCCCCGACTGGCGCCAGGGACCTAGCCTGCAGCTGAGGTACATGCCCTTGACGCTCTAACACTGAGTAAACCGGCTAGTTTTCTATTATCTTAAGATGTCTCCAGTTACGTCAAGGGGTGGCTGACATTCTTAAACCAAATAATCTTAACAATTTAAAATATGTTAATAGAACCCTTTCAAATGGTATATAGATAGAGATCATTAGAGAATGAGTATGGTAATTACTGTAAGAATGAAATAATTGATCAAATATAAGTTGGAATCTTATCTGAGATGAAATTATGTATTAATTTATTAAAATGTTTAAAATATATATTTTTATTGATTTCAGGGAGAGAGAGAGTGAAAGAGAAACATCAATGATAAGAGAGAATCATTGATCTACTGCTTCCTGCACCACACACACACACACACACACACACACACACACACACCCCTCACTGGGGTTCAAGTCTGCAACCCAGGCATGTGCCTTGATTGGGAATTGAACTGTGATCTCCTGAGCCACGCTGGCCATATTACTATTTCATGCTGATCTGCTGCCTTAACATGGTTTGAGAATTAATACACTAGAAGCTTGGAGGATAAAACTAATTTACCCAAGGTGTAACATAAAGTGACATGCAGGAGTAACCTTGTATTTGTAATTTAAAAGCAAAGCTCGCTTATTCTGAAGAACCGGCGTGGAAGTCCAGGCTGTGTCACTTCCCTGAAGACCATTCTTAGCTTTCTCAGTGACCTTTAAGTGAGGATGTCATCTATGCAAAAAGCTGACCCTAGTGATACAATTCTGTGTGTCTCCAACAGTTTTAATTTCTCATTTAAGGTGAATATGCAGGTTTTGATGAGACGCAGCCAACAGCTGAATCTGGCGGGAAAGGAAAAGTTATTAAACTTTTAAAGGAAAAATTTCATTTTAAGAAAATAGTCATGATTGGAGACGGCGCCACGGACATGGAAGCCTGTCCTCCCGCTGTACGTAATGAGCGTTCTCATTCTTTCAGGTTGGACTTTCGTTTCAGCTGATTCAGAATTCAGTGGGACTTCTGAGAGTAAACAGATTAAATATCATTGGAAGAGAAAAAACAATAAACAAAACAAATTTAATCTTAATATGTCAGTTGACCTTTTGCAAATCCAAGGAAGGTTGCAAATAAGGAACTAAAAACTTTTTTTAAAAAAAATATGTTTTTTTTTGATTTTTTACAGAGAGAAAGGGAGAGAGATAGAGAGTTAGAAATATCGATGGGAGAGAAACATCGATCAGCCGCCTCCTGCACATCTCCTACTGGGGATGTGCCCGCAACCCAGGTACATGCCCTTGACCGGAATTGAACCTGGGACCCTTCAGTCCACAGGCCGACGCTCTATCCACTGAGCCAAACCGGTTTCGGCAGGAACTAAAAACTTTTAAAACTTTCAGCAACCCCTCGTCCCTGCTTCATGGCCACCTTTTAGCCCAAGTGTGCACTCAAGTAAGTCGGCTTTATTTCCTCCAATAATTCCACAAACGATACAGCTCTTGTAACTCAGCAACATTTTTATGTCCCTTTATAATTGATAAACTATTTCCTCATCCACTATGTCATTTAATCCTCACAACAGCCCTGTGAGGTGAGGTCTTATGTCCTTTTTTTCACTGCTTGGGAACTGAGGTTCACGGAGGTTGGACGACATGCCTATGTTAAAGGATTTTATTCTTCTGAATTAGTGATGTTTTCTGAGACCACCAGGAAGCAGATGCTATGTAGCAAGGGTCCTAAATATCAAATGTGTCCATTTCACATCGGACTCTGCCTTTATCATCTCATTCTAACTTAAGAAAAACAGAACCAAAAATACAGTGAGCTCTTTTACTACCTTACTTCCCGAGATCTAAAAGTAGGAACTGCCTTTGTAAATGATTAATCAAAAGTGGTTAAAGATCTTTCAGCAACCTTATCACATTGCTTGAATTTGTTCAAGATAACACATTTTTAGATGATTTGCCACTACATTGGGGTTGACTAAGTGTAATGAGCTCCAGGCTAGTGTCATGAGGAATTCATGGACATAGATGCGGAGTTCTCTCAGGGAGCTTCCAATCGTGTTGAGATATGACAAATCATAACTTCCAGATCAGGATTTATAATTATCTGCCAAAATTGCAAATAGCCTGACGGAACCAGGAGAAGGTGGTGCGCATGCAGGTGTCGCTCTGGGAAGGTTGCTCCGAGGCGCCTGTGACCTACAGGAAGGTTAGCACAGGCGGGTCTGGCAGGGCTCAGGGGAGGACGTTTCCAGAGGGGGAGGCGGCAGGCAGAGGGGGATGGATCAGGCATAGTTCTGGGCTGGTCGGGGTCAAGGACCAGGAGGAGTGGGCTTTCTCTTCAGCCACCGCTGAAGACCCCACACTTCCCCAGGCACATGGGTGTTACCTCTAGGTCATGGGAAGCCCGAGGAAGCTTCTGGAAAGAGAAGGAATGAGGCAGTGTGTTAGGACAGCTGAGTTGGTGCTGGCATGTGGAAAGGACTGTCACGGAGGCAGGAAGCTCAGTGAAGAGGCTAATTTTTTTTTAATATGTTTTTATTGATTTCAGAGAGGGAAAGGAGAGAGATATAGAAACATCGATGAGAGAGAATCATTGATTGGTGGCCTCCCGCATGCCCCCCATTGGGGATCAAGCCCGCAACCCAGGCATGTGCCCTTGACCGGACTCAAACCGGGGACCCTTCAGTCCACAGGCTGACGCTCTAGCCACTGTGCCAAAACCAGCTAGGGCGAGGAGGTTAAATTTAACCGGATGGTGAGAATCTAGTTATTTTCCTCTCCCTCCCCTTAATATGGTATGAAAATTAAAATAAAGAGAAAGAGGAAGTAAGAGAATTTTGTACTTCCAAATTAGTGTATATCGTGTCTATATCCTGGCAGAAAAAGAGGAAATACCATTTTAAAAGACTTGGAAAAGGGCTCTCACCTGACCGGCCATATTGACACCCTGATATCAGACTTTCAGCCTTCCAGTCTGTGAGAAATAAATTTCTGTTGTTTATAAGCAAAAAAAACACAAAAACTATTGAGTAAAAGAAGGTATCACTGCCCTAACCGGCTTGGCTCAGTGGATAGAGCATCAGCCTACGGACTCAAGGGTCCCAGGTGCGATTCCGGTCAAGGGCATGTACCTTGGCAGCTGATCGATGTTTCTCTCTCATTGATGTTTCTAACTCTCTATCCCTCTCCCTTCTTCTCTGTGAAAAATCAATAAAATATATTTTTTTTAAAAAGAAGGTATCACTTAATAGAAATTAATGAGACATAACTTTAAAAAATATATATACTTCTGTTGATCTCAGAGGGGAAGGAAGAGGGAGAGAGAGATAGAAACATCAGTGATGAGAGAGAATCATCGATTGGCTGCCTCCTGCATGCCCCACACTGGGGATGGAGCCCATAGTCCGGGCATGTGCCCTGACCAGGAATCGAACTCTGACCTCCTGGTTCTTAGGTCAACACTCAACCACCGAGCCACACCGGCCGGGCAAACCTTATAACTTTAGATAAATGTAACGATGAAAAGCAGAGTGCTGCCAGCAGAAATGGGGGTTGTCATCTCCTTCAGCCCAGGGCAGCACCTCCCGGGCGGGCAGCTGTGCAGGTTCACCCCGGCACCCGGAGGGAGATGCCTGCTCTAGTCCTGGTTCCAGGCCCTGGCGAGTTCCACGGCACACAGGCTTCCCTTTGGCCTCCCTCTGAGGTTGCCTGGACTGGGTGTGGTTGCTGTGTCGTTTGGAACTCAGACCTTTACCACCTGATGTGACTTCATCTCTGTAAGCACTTGTCTTGTTGAAAGAGGGCTTCCGTTCTGGAGGCCCACGATGTGCAGTGGGTGGCTGTGCACTCATTCGCCGGGCGGGGGGCTCACAGGGAGCTCTGGAGACACCAAGTGATGCTGGCTCAACTCTTTTTGCACAGACAGTTTATTCTTCCAAACGACACTTACTGCCCTAGGCTGCTACTGTATGTTTTTGCTTTTAAATTTTCATTATTCTTTTTCTTTTTTTTATTTAAAAAAAATATATATTTTATTGATTTTTTACAGAGAGGAAGGGAGAGGGATAGAGAGTTAGGAACATCCATTAGCTGCCCCCTGCACACCTCCTACTGGGGATGTGCCTGCAACCAAGGTACATGCTCTTGACTGGAATCGAACCTGGGACCTTTCAGTCCACAGGCCGACACTCTATCCACTGAGCCAAACCGGTTAGGGGTTCTTTTCTTTTTTAAAAAGCTTAACTCTGCTCCTTGTTTTGTCTTCTTAGGATGTGTTCATTGGATTTGGAGGAAACGTGATCAGGCAACAAGTAAAGGACAACGCCAAATGGTACATCACTGATTTTGTAGAACTTCTGGGAGAACTGGAACAATAATCAATTTTTATATAGTTCACAACTTCAAATTTTTAAAAGTTATACAGTTTGGTACGATTTGTTTACAATGGCCTACTACAACTTGATGGATACATTTGGTACTGATTATCTGTACTTCCAAACTTTAGAAAGTCGCTTTTTTAAAAAACTGTAGTTCAGTATTATTATGACCACCAATTACCTGGAAAGTTTTATAATCTGAATTCTTTGTGTATTTTCCTACCTTTATTTTATTGGAAGGTTTTTAAAGGTGGAGAGTAAATTAAACACCTTCCCTCCTGAAAATGTGGATTAGGCAGTGAGTTATTAGAAAATTAATATTAGGTGAATATTAGTTTTCCCTTTGATATATAAATAAAAGTTTATCCATGTATCAGAATGAATTTGTGGAATTTTTATTTCTTCCTGTCAAATGTATTTCAATATCCAATACTTCTCAATTACTTTTAAGGGTTTGAGTAGAAACAACCTTGAGGCAGGCAAGGAACCTAGGGATGACGTGGAGACCCCTCTCCTCTGCGCACAGGGCAGAGTGCTGGTCACATGTTCCCACCACAAGGCCCCTGCTTCCCCACCAGTCCCCCACCCGCTGAGTGAAGCTCTGAAGGATGGAAGCACTTTTATTACCACTTGGAATTGGTCATTTAGGGAATGTTTACAAAGGCTTAAGACAAACGATGGAGTCTGAAACAAAAGTTCTGACCCTAAAGAGCGGGTATTTGATAGCCACATGAAGTAAAAGAACTGAAAACAAGTTTTACTCATTCCAACTGAAGGGCAGCACTTGCCCCTAAATGAATTAAGAAATTCTCCTAAGAGCACAGCTGAACCGTTTCTTACAAGTGACGTGGAAGCCAGGTTCATATCTATTCTGAGCCGTGTCAAGAAAAGGAAATTCCAGAACGTGGCTTTCAAAGTGTAAGATTACATGCTCTCCCCGGAGGAAAAATCCGGTGTGGATCAGTGGCTAAAGCGTCAGCCCACGCACTGAAAGGCTGTAGGTTCGATGTCCAGCCCTGGTCAGGGCGTGTGTGGGAAGCAGCCAATTGATGTGCCTCTCACATTGATGTTTCTCTCTCTCCCTCCCTCCTTCCCTACTTCCCTCCACTTTCTCTGAAAAGCAATGGAAAAAATATCCTCAGGTGAGGATAAAAAAAAAAAACCCCACGATGGATTTGGGAAGAGGCAGGCAATGGGTACTGTGATTAAATAGAAGAGGCCAGAGGGTTTAATATTGGAAATTACTTGAAAAATGTATAATATAACCAAACAATCAAATTTGGCCAAGTAAGCAGGTAATTATTTAGCCAAATAATCAAATCGGCTGAATCAGATTTCCTTCAACATCAGAATTTCTATGGGGCGACATGGGATAGGTCTGGCAACATTTAAATGAGATCACCAACAAGGAGGTGCTTGTTCCCCAGTTGTCCCTCGTTGTGAAAGCTCCCTGGCAGCTCTCCTAGAAGCCGTTTGGCGGCATTTGGACTCGAGCCAGCGCTGTGCTCTGGGCAGGACCGGGCAGGCCGGGTCTGTGAAGGGCGCTGCCAGCTGCCTCGGCTTTGCCAACACCCAGTGTGCATGAGCTGGAGCAAGTCCTCGCCGCCAGGATAGGCAGAGGCCTGAGAAGCTGTGGCCCCGGGAGCCTGGCATCCATAGGCCTGAACTGGAGGTGCACATTGAATTTGGCTCCGAGGAGTCTGATCCGCTGAGAAATCGTGATACCCACATGAAGCCTTTTATAGCAGCGACACAACCCCTCCTCTGGCCCACAGGCTCCCCAGCTCCCAGCCAGTGGCACAAAGCAGCTCACAATTCCTTCTTTGTTGTGTCCGAGGGGTGAGTTTGAAATGAGGCAACCACTGCGCCCACCTCTTTCATGCTTTTGTTGTTGTTACGATCTCTTTCTTTATTCATTAAATTAATTGTGAAGAGTTTTATCACATGCACACACCTACTAAACATTAAGCAGTTTTCTTTAAAAATTCTTTATTGTAGGTATCATGCTTTTCTGCCTCGTGGGAATCCGCTACAGAATTGCTCTCCCGGGAGTGATGTGTGTGGCTCCACTGGGACGGGACGCAACGAGGCGGCGGTATTACGCGTCTTCCTGTCCTGCCACACGTCTGTCTTGCTGATTATCAACACTGCTTATGTAAACGAAACAGGGAGGAGTGGGAGTCTTAACATGAGGAACTGGAATGTGTCATGGCATTAAGTTGAAACAAGTCCCTCAAAACTTTTATCTGCTTAGAAAACCAAGGCAGCCCTGTGGCCTTCATCCCCTTCCTCGCCCCCATCTCCTTCGGTGAGACTCCTGCTGTGAGCTTCTTTCTCTTGTACTTGGAGACAAGGGCTTCTGCTTGCCCCTAGGGAGGCCCACCTGGCTGCCACTCCCCAAAGCAGGGGGCAGGATGCTAGATCTGGGGCCGGGCTGCAGGGGTTCTGGTGGTCAGCCTCAGGAAGGGATGGCACACACACCATGGCTTTTGCCTCAGGATCCTTATGGTCAGGTTCAGAAAACGTGGGGCGTTGTCTGACCACCGGTCATACTGTTTATTTCACATTTTCCAAGGTGTTTTTATGTTTTCTCGCAAACGTCACGACCCTGAGGCCAGCCTCCCATCCCCCTGCTGTCCATGTCCATTGGTTTAGGCGGTCCTCTTTTTAACAGGTGGGAAACGAGCTCACAAGAGCTCACAACCGTTAATGGTCACGTTCAGAGCTGGAACCCAGGCCATGATTGCACAGCATTCCTTATCTGCTTCACTAGAGTCAAGCCAGGAGCTTATTAAATGAACATTGTGATCACAGGTGTCAATATATATTAATCCAGCAGAGATGAAATCTGACCTCCTAGAATGTGAAGTATGGTACCTATTTGCTTTGTTTAACCATGGACAGGTTATTTTGATTTTCTGAATTGTACAAATCATCCCATTCGATTGAAGGCCTTATTGATTGAATGACTCTCCCATTGATTGTGATCTTACTGGTTATCAAAGCACATTCTTCTGTACCTGGGAAACAGGACAGCACAATTACCCTAAAATTGTTTTAGTGGCCACAGGTGGTGCATTCCAGCTGAATCAGTGGTCCTGAGACCAGGACAGCACAATTACTCTAAATTGTCCTGACAACTCAGTGGTCGGAGACCCAAGGGCTCTAGATAATGTGTTTCTATCAACTCAGTGATCCGGAGACCCAAAACTGTAATTTAGATAACATGCCTAAGTTTAACCCAGGTTACCCAAGGGCTCTAGATAATGTATTTCTGTCAATTCAGTGACCCTGAGACCCGAAACTGTAATTAACATGCTTAATTCTGCTTCTGTAATCTGCTTTTTTGTGAGCCAGGTGCCTCATTCCAAACCCTGGGATGTAATCAATACCTTTGTGATTTTTGCCTATATAAGTCTGGTTTTTACCATCTTATTGCTATGAGATTTGGGAATGGCCCGTCATAGTCCCGGATTGCAATAAATGTGACTCTTTAATTCGACTTCTTGAGGCGTCCTTCTGTGATTCGCGGGGTACGTTACAACAAATGGAAGGCCTGTTTTGCAAAAAATTCGTTTCATTTTTTTAAAAAATGTATTTTTATTGAGTTCAGAGAGAAAAGGAGAGAGAGAAACATCAATGATGTGAGAGAATTATTGGTTGGCTGCCTCTTGCACGCCCCACACTGGAGCCTGCAACCCAGGCATGTGCCCTGACTGATTGAACTATGACCTCCAGGTTCATAGGTCAAGGCTCAACCATTGAGCCATGCTGGCCGGGCTCAAGTTTCATTTTTAATGGTCACTGAACTCTGGGAAAAGTGTTAGTACTAGTTAGAAGATTGTTCAGTACTTTGCTGCTCAGTTTCTAATTCTGAACATAATTCTATCCATGTTTATTGCCTTCCTTTTGAATTTTTACTGAGCTTTAGGCATATTAATTTCTAAGGAACTTGCATCAAAAATAGTATGACTAAAGCCCTGGCCGGTGTGGCTCATTGGTTGGGCATTGCCCCGTGCACTGAAAGGTTGCCTGTTCCATTCCCAGTGAGGACACAAGCCCAGGTTGCAGGTTTGATCCTGGGATTGGGGGTGTGCAAGAGGCAGCTGATCAATGTTATGCTCTCACATCAATGTTTCTCTCTCCCTTCCTCTTCTAAAATTCAATGAAAAAATGTGTATGAATAGAGTCCCCGCCCTGCTTTCTGAGAGTCCCAGTTGTTTTCTAATTAGAGCTGACAGTCTCCATACTTTCTATTCCTTCCTTCCTTCCTTTTCTCTCTTATTTCCTCTCATTCCTTCTATTGATTCATCAAACATATTATTGAACATCTATGTCTCAGCCAGAAATCAAAAGTATAAATTTAAGAAAAAAAGTTTAATGTAGAACTGAAAAAGGATCTTTCATAGGCAGTTCCTGTTTCATTCCCAGTGAGGACACAAGCCCAGGTTGCAGGTTTGATCCTGGGATTGGGGGTGTGCAAGAGGCAGCTGATCAATGTTATGCTCTCACATCAATGTTTCTCTCTCCCTTCCTCTTCTAAAATTCAATGAAAAAATGTGTATGAATAGAGTCCCCGCCCTGCTTTCTGAGAGTCCCAGTTGTTTTCTAATTAGAGCTGACAGTCTCCATACTTTCTATTCCTTCCTTCCTTCCTTTTCTCTCTTATTTCCTCTCATTCCTTCTATTGATTCATCAAACATATTATTGAACATCTATGTCTCAGCCAGAAATCAAAAGTATAAATTTAAGAAAAAAAGTTTAATGTAGAACTGAAAAAGGATCTTTCATAGGCAGTTGTGAGAATAGAGAGAAGAAGCAGGTTCAGCCAAGTGTGGGTCCACGAGGCCTTTTAAAGGCAGTAGGGTGATATCACATGAATGACCATTAAAAATGAGTTGGCGTATGTAAGTAATATTCGCCAGACTTATACTCAATGAATGGGAAATGAGATCAGAAGTTTTTAATACTGCCCCCAAATTAATAGTGGTACAAAAGAATACAATTTATTCTATTCAGGGGTTTAATAAAAGGATTTCACAAAGTGGGCAGGAAATGCTAAAATAAAGTGATACTTTGATAAATTAGCTTCACCAGCAAAATGCTTTTCAACAGTTTTTCTACCTCTTCATTTGCCTGTGATCACTTTCTTTCACACCCTTAGCAACATTAGCACTCGATGATGGCCTCTTTATGCTTTAGATTGTGCTAATCATCCATTTAGCCAGCAACAAGAGCAAAAACACCCACAAAAATATTCACATCACAATTTCTTGAGATTTTAACAAAGGGAGGTTTAGCAGTAAACGGAGAGATGCCTTTTGTCATGATGATGTACCCGTATGAAAGGTCTGTTTAACAAGCAAGACATTTTCTCTG